TAGCAGTTTACCTAGACAGCATCTCGAACCCTCAAGGGCAGCCTGAGAGTGAGGTGCCACGGGGGACCCAGGATGATAAGGGGTGTCACTCTGCATGCATCCTGGTACCCTAGGAAGACCGAATGGGACTGTCCCAAACACATGAATAAATGAATCCTCAGATTCGGGTCCAAATTTATGACAGGAAGGCCGACAGGAGCCCACCCCTGCAGCTTCAGAAGCCAGGACTTCTGTAACTTGAGGTCTGTATTTTGAGGTGCCATGCATAGGGGTACTTGAGCAAAAGCTTACTGTCTTCCACTGCCCTGGGTGAGTAGGGCTGGCCCCATCTCAGGGCCCCTCTCCCTGGCTTGTAGATGCTACCTCCTCCCTGAGCTTCCACAGCATCCCCCACCCCCACCCCCGAGTTTGGCTATCCACATCCCAGCATCCTCCTCCTGAGCCTGGCTGTGTTTACATCTCAGTCTTTCCTCTGACCTGGCTGTGCCCACATCTTAGCATCTTCCCCCCCGAGCCTGGCTGGGCCCACATTTCTTCCTTCTTGTAAGGACACACGGATCAGCTCTCACTCTAACATGGTTACTTCAAATAAGATCGTGTTCTGAGCCATGGAAGGTTAGGACCTCAACATTTCATTTTTGGGAAGGACTCATTTTAGCCCAAAACAGAAAGCAAAGGGAGAATTGAAAACATGGAAAAACTTCAAAAGAGGGCAAATTAAAATGGAAGAAATTTAAAAAGTTATCAATCAAGCAGGGTGTGATGGGGTACACCTGTGTTCCCAGCTACTTGGGAGACCTTTGAGCCCAGGAGTTTGATGCCACTCTGGGAAGTATCCTGAGACCTCCCCCATTTCAATATAATATACAGCAATAATATTGTAGATGTAAATAGATTTCTGGTGCACGCCTTTAGTCCCAGCACTCAGGAAGCAGAGGCAGACAGACCTCTGTGAGATCAAGGCCATCCTGGTCTACATAGCGAGTTCTGGGCTAGCTGGGGCTACAGGGAGATCCTATCTCAAAAAACAGAAAACAAAAAGTTGAAAAGTATGGTGATTAGTTTGGGTCCAGCTGCGTTTTGTAAGTGTCACATTTAAAACAGAGGGATTTGGGGCTGGGGCGCAGCCTTGTGGTAGAATGTGTGTTTAGGTAGGAAGGGTGTGAGGCCAGGGCTTAACCCTCAGCACTGAAAAATAAAGATTCAAATATATTAGAGTTAAAGGGCTAGAAAATACACAAAATTAAGGTAACTGATGGGGAGCTGGGGTCACAGGCAGCTGTGTCAGAAATCACTCTACTTTCCAGGGTTGTCACAGCCAATCTGCAAATCAGAGGTTCAATCAATGCCAGAACATTGGGGCATGCACCTGGTGTCTGCAGTCTGAGAGGGTCCGGCAGGCTAAGATGCCAGCAGTCTAGTGTTCTGAGAAGCCTCTGCTACCTAGGGGCTCCAATCCCAGATGGCTGGTAGACCCGTGGCAGCTGGAGTGGGGAGCCAACCTGCAGGTGCCCTAGCCTCTTTCTTGGGGTGCTTCTTTCCCCTGGGAGGGGACCCCACACCTACTTGAGCAGCCTGTGACCAGGCCCCTCCCAAGGGATGTGTGTTCCTCCTGGAAGATCCCTTGTGGTTCTTGTCTGACCATATTCAGCTATGCTGCTAAGCAACCCTTAGTGCTGGGAGCCCTCCCTCATATCCCCAGAGCCTGGGACAACCCACAGTTCTGCTCGTAGATGGCACAAATTCCATACACCATTGTAATGGAGACAGATTAAAAATGTTGCCTGGAAGAACATGGCAAGGGTATACAGGGTCCCTGGGTCATCCTAAGAAGAGATGTACTTAAAGGAAGTGGCCTGAATGTTAGGAGCCCAGTCTGCCCTCCTCTGGCTTCACTTGATGGTTAAGGTGGGGTTGGAGCTAGAAGCTGTACCTGGGATGACGAAGCCCACTTCTGGCAAGAAAGTTAGATAGACCTGTATTTAAAGGGGGCCGAGGCAACGGAAGGCCGAAGGGTGTGATGCTAATCACTGGCAATAGGACTGGATTTAGATTCACCTGGGAAAGTGGGGAAACACTCCTCTGTGTGTCCCTGAGGCTTTCCAGAGAGCACGAATGGATGAGGGAGGCTCCACCCTGAATGGGAGCAGAGCCTCTCCGTCCAACGGGGCTCAGAAGAAGAAACTGAATCACGGGCTCACGTTCCGCTTCAGGTGCACAGCAGCAACAGCCTAGGGCTGAACCCTGTTGTTTCAGCCGGGAATTTGCCTTCCTAGGCCTATGGACCTTCCTCCATCTTCAGTCGCCCACGGCTGGGTCGTCTCTCACTGTCTCACCCTGACATCTCCTTTCTCTCTCATCCACTTTTAAGGACCCTGAGATACACCAGCTTGACAACACAGGCTGTATCCCTCCTTGTGTAATCAGCCGATTATCCTTAATCCTCCTCTGTCATGTAACCTAGTCCACCTGAAAGTTCCAGAGACGAGGGTTCAGACGCCTTTGAGAGGGATTTATTATTCTGCCTACCGCACAGAGAAAGAATGCTGTGACATAACGATAAGCAGTCCATTCACCAGGAAAACAACCATTTTAATGCCTATGCACCAATTAACATAACATCAAATATATAAAGCCAACCTTGTCACAAATGGCCTATGAATCACCTTCTCAGCAATTGATAGTTCAAACTGGAAAAGGTGTGGTAGACTCCTATGCTAGGGTAAGATAGGGCCCAGCTAAGGGTCAGGGGGTGGGATGGAGGCAGGGGTTAAATTGTGGAAGGTGTTACGAGACTGTAGCAGTGACCTCTAGCTCTAGTCACTGTAGAGTGACTACACACAAGGTCATTAGAAGACAGACACTCTGGGTTGGGAAGATAGTTCAATGGGCAAGTGATAACCATGCAAGTGTGAGGGTCTGAATTTGGATCCCTGGGACCCACATAAAGCTGGGCATAGCAGCACGTGTCTGGTACCCCAGCGCATCCATAGCAAGATGGGAGGTGGACACAGGAGAGTTCCTGGACATTCATGGGCCAGCTTGGCGTACACAGCAGTGGAGAGACTGTCTTAAGGAAGAAGGTGGGGACCAGCACCCAAGGTTGTCCTCTGATCACACGTGTGGCAAGGCATGTATATGCCTACACACACGCGTGCACACACACACACACACAATGACAACCAAACCAAAACAAAACACTACTGGCATTCTTTCTAAACACATTTCTCTCAAGCAACTTCAAAGAGTTGCAACGTTTTAGGTTGTTCAACTTCGTGGGTTTTGTTCCTGATGTCTGTGGGTTGGACATCTAGGACTGGAGAGGTGGCTCAGCAGTTAAAAGCACTGGCTGCTCTTGCGGAGAACCTGGGTTCACTTCCCAGCACCCACACAGCAGCTAACAACCGTAACTATAGTTCCAGGGATCTGACACCCTCTTCTGACCTCTGCAGGCATTGCATGACATGAGTGCAGTTACATACATGTATATATGCATTACATACAAACTCATAAAATAAAAATAAACTTAATTTTAAAAAAATTCTTCTAGTGGGGAGCAGTGGGTGTGAAGTCCCCTAGCCGAGGCATTAATAGCTGCTGAGGGAGGAAGAGTCAGTTTTCTTTAAGGTTGACAATACTCTGCTGCAGGGCTGGTTCCATACCCAAGAGTATTTGGGCACCACAAACTGGACTAGAGGGGAATGAAGAAGAATATGAGCTTGGGTCGGAAGAGAGGTGGGGTGCACCGAGGGGAGGGGAGCGTATGATCAAAATACATTGCGTGAATACTCGAACAGTGGTATTTTTAAAATCCATCCGGTGGCTCAACAGAGCACCTGGCTACTCTTGCAGAGGACCCAGGTTTGTTTCCCAGCACCCACGTCAGTCATAACTGCCACCCATATGCACATACACAGACATACACACACATAATAAACAATGCAAATAAATATTTTTAAAAAATCAATCTGAAGGGCTGGAGAGATGGGTCAATGGGTAAAGGCACCTGGTGCCAGGCCTAGTGACCTGAGCTGGATCCCTGGAACCCACATAGTGGAAGGAGAGAATTAACTTCTGAAAATTGTCCTCCGACCTCTTCACACACACCATGGTTCATGTGTGCACCACACAGAAACAGACACATCATAAGTAAATAAAATGAAAGTTAAAGATTAAAAAAGAAAGCTGTTTCATAAAAACAATATTCCATCTGGAGGGGCCAGTGAGATGGCTTAGTGGATAAAGGTGCTTGCTGCAAAGCCTGACAACCTAAATTTGACCCCAGAACCTACTTGGTGAAAGGAGAGAACTGACTTCTCTAGGTTGTCCTCTGATCTTCACATGTGCAACATGGCACACCCGTGAACACATGTGAACACACAAAAACACAAAATAGATAAAATGCAATTTTAACATTTTATTTATTTTTATTAATTTTATGTACATGAGTGTATTGCCTGCATGTATGTGAGTGCATCTGTGTCACGCAATGCCTGCAGAGGTCAGAAGGAGTCCAGTTCCCTTGGAACTGGAGTTACACACGGGTCTTAGCTGCCATATGGATGCTGGGAATTGAATCCAGGTGGTCTGTGAGAGCAACCAGTGCTCTTAACCACTGAGTCATCTCTCCAGCCCCAAAATGTAATTTTAAAAAGAATTTAAGCCTCCATCTGGGGTCCTTTGGGATTCCCAATGTGTCTAGTCTGGAGTCCATGAAGCATCTTAATTTTTTATTATTAAAATTCACTTATTGTTGTTATTATTATCATGTGTGAGTGGATGCAGGCACACACATATCAAGTCAGAGGACAACTCTCAGGAGTGCTTTCTGTCCTTCCACCGTGGGATCCCGTGATCAGACTCAACTCATCAGGCTTGTGGGAAGCATTTCTGCCCTCCGAGCATCTGACTGGCCCCCATGAAGCTTCTTTCTCGCTTCTCTGAATCTCCCCAGGGGGGTTTCCTAGACTCCTGTTTACCCTCTCATCTGCATCCCACAGGAAACAGCACTCTGGAGGCCACTGAGATGTGCAACACATCCTTCACATCCTTTGAGGACAGCAGGGTGATCCTCGTGACAGTGTACAGTGTGGTGTGCATCCTGGGTTTGCCCGCCAACTGCCTCACTGCCTGGCTGACCCTGCTGCAGGTGCTGCGGGGCCACGTGCTGGCCGTCTACCTGTTGTCCCTGGCTCTCTGTGAGCTGCTCTATATCAGCACGCTGCCGCTGTGGGTCATCTACATCCAGAACAAGCACGAGTGGACCCTGGGCCCGAAAGCCTGCAAAGTGACTGCCTACATCTTCTTCTGCAACATCTACGTCAGCATCCTCTTGCTGTGCTGCATTTCCTGCGACCGCTACATGGCAGTGGTCTACCCGCTGGAGAGCCGAGGCCACCGCCACCAGAGGACCGCCGTCATTGTCTCCCTGTGTGTGTTTTTTCTTGTCGGGCTTGTCTACTATCCAGTGTTTGACATGGAAGTGGTGAAGAACTATTGCTTTGAGCCCCTGAGGATGAACAGCAGGATCACCAGCTACCACTACCTGCGTTTCACCTTCGGCTTCGCCCTCCCTCTGGGCATCATCGCGTTCACCAACCACCAGATCTTCAAGAGCGTCAAGCTGAGCGCCAGCCTGAGCGCCGCACAGAAGACCAGGGTGAAGCAGGCAGCCACCGCGGTTGTCGTCATCTTCCTGGTCTGCTTCGCTCCGTACCACGTGGTACTCCTCGTCGAAGCTGCCGGCTTTTCCTACTACAAAGGCGACAAGGCGGCTGTGTGTGCTTTTGTGAGCAGACTGTACACAGCGTGTGTGGTGTTTCTGTGTCTGTCCACGGTCAACAGTGTGGCCGACCCCATCATCTATGTGCTAGCTACAGACCATTCTCGGCAAGAAGTGTCCAAAATCCACACAAAGTGGAAAAGGTGGCCCCAAAAGACAGATGCCACGCACCTAAAGGACTCGGAGGAGACACGCTCACCCACACCACTTGCAAACAACTATACCTTCCCCAAATCTGTGCACCTTCCAGGGCCACGGCCGGATGAGTTGTGCTCGCCATGCACCCCAGAGAGGCTGCCTGAGGAATTCTGCTGAGCCCACTGTACCTCAGGGGAGGGTGCTAACCCTCAAAGAGAGACAGCAATGTCTTCCTGGTCCTGAGCCACAGGCCGGAGCGTGGGTACCCCCTGGAAGACACACTATGGACCTCTCTCTGGAGCCACCCACTCTGTGAACCTCTGCTCCTTGGGTGTCCCAGACCTCCAGGCTCTCCCACATGGAAAGACGCAGTGTGCCAAGGGCAGCAGTCATGTCCCTAGGCTACCAGGGACCCAGGGAGCACATGGCAGGCAGAGAGCTCTTTGGCAGCTTTCTGTGGCTGGCTCTCAATAGCTATCGGCAGGGTGGTTGGTAGAGCCCTGGGCGATGACTTTACTTTCTATGCTGTCTGTGTTGCCCAGTGGCTGCTACAGTGAGTCTTTGGGGCTTTCCACAGAGGTGGAAATGAACCTCAGCCAGGGTCGTTGGGGTGCCTGGGACTGTGTCACGGCCCAAGATCTCTATGGGGCAGGAGTTCAACCTTGAGACTTCCAGCCTTGGCATCACAGAGGAAGCTGGCTGGGGCTCCCAACAGTGCAGGGGAGGGAAAGCTAGACCCTGCCCCTTAGTTTCCCAACATTGGATCACAAGACATCGCCTCTGAGCTCCAAGTCAAATCCCAGCTCAGGCATGAGACTTGTGTAGGCCGATCACACCCACTTGTTACTGCGTCTGGAGAGTATGGCCAGGGACACGTACCTCACTGGGTCACCGTTGGGGCTGACCACCCCCCAGACACTTCTCCCTCAGACACTCCCAACACACATGGAGCAAAAGGGCCAGAGACACTGAACTGAGAGGCCCAGGGCTGCCCCTTAAGGCACACACGTCACAGAAGTTGCACAGGGACGTCATATAAATGACACTCTCACTCATGTACCTCGACTGTTGACTGTCATTCTTTACTGTGAGAGGCTTGGGAAAGCTCGTTGAAAATAAAAAACCAAAATATATGTTGTTGATCCAAACTGCCTTTATTGTTATTGCTGTTCTTAAAAAATATTTATTATTTATTTTTTTAGTTTATATGTATGCATGTATTGCCTGCATGTAGGGTAAGTGAACCTGTATCGTGCAATGCCTGCAGAGGACAGAAGAAGGTGTCAGATCCCCTAGAACTGGAGTTACGGACAGTTGTTAGCTGCCATGTGGGTGCTGGGGTTCAAACCTGGGTCTTCTGCAAGAGCAGCCAGTGTTCGAACCGTTGAGCCATCTCTCCAGCCTCCAGTGTTGTA